CTTTAGGCCTCTATCACTGGGACACGATTTATGGCTTAAGAGAAATTGCCAGCTGTGTATATATTTTCCATTAATCCCTGAATTTTTTAATCTCTGAATTTCTTTAAAGACTTAGCAGGAGAGAATAGAGTAAACTACTGGCACTCATCCCTCTTGTAAAGAAGAGGTGATTCCCTGAGATTTTTGTCATGTGTTCTGTGGAAGCTAAAGAGAATTCAAGTGAAGACTTCCTAAAGACAGTATGACTAAGACAGACCTGCTTACCTCATGTTCAGTTCTGAGACTTGTTTAGAATTGTTCCAAGAAAGGTGTTTAGTTACTGTAAGCCTTTCAGGGTTTTTCTTTGCCAGAATCTGTAGGTCTTTTAATTTCTTCTCTTTATTTCACTTCTAAGAGTATGTATGAAGTCTAACCTGGGGGAAAGACCACTGTTTCTGGGCAGAGAAAAAAGAAGCACACAACTAGAAAAGGATCATAAAAGCTCACTGGTTGTGAGTAAAGCTTTTACTAAAGCAGTTCTCCACAGACATACACACTTTATTCCTTGAGGTCATAGATAACCTAACAGCTGACTAAAAATTAATTCAATAGGAATTTATTTAGCATTCACTGCACAAATCACACTAATGCCCTTCTTTAAACGAAACAGTAGACACTTCAGCATGTCATGTTCAGCTTTGCTTCAACAAAACTGGCCCTCACTGTAACCATCCTAATAGTTTATTATTGGAGACTTTAGTGCTCTGGTGAATCGCTGTGGCGGTCTGTACCACAGGAAGAATGCAGAGAGGGCATTCCGGGAAATGTACTCCACCATTGCACGTGCTCTGTGGAGTACTTGGAAGTGATTGGTTGAGGATGGTTTGTTACTGTTCAAACTGCATATATAAGATGCTGTTGTTCTCAGTAAACTTGATTCAGTTGCCTCGAACCCCAAATGACTGGGTCCGTGCCCTCAATGCCGTCAAATGGCATCTATTTTTCTAGGTGTCACTGACAATATTCAATGTGAAGTAGGTTTTTGGAAGAATATTTCCCAAATGTGTGTAAATACAGATAGTGTAAAATCAACCAAAGTGATTCCCACATTTTTCAAAAGTACCAGCTCCTTTTGCCTTGTCCATCTTTTCTATCCTCTGAATTCAAAGGTTGTTGTCCAAAAATGAGGGCATGTTCACGCTATCTTTTATATTCATGTCCTACTTGTAAAAAGTGAAATGTTGCCAGCAGTTTAAAGTAGGTATCAACTCTATTGCTGAAGCAAACATTATGACCACTGATTATAGGCAGAATCATTGTCTTATGCTCCAATAAGGCAGACCCAAATGCCTCATTTGGGATCTTCATATTGTAAAAAGATGTGGCATTTCGTGCACAGTCATTTCTTGAATGTGTACTATCTGGCTTATATGTGATCCTACTCATGTAACCATATAGAATCTCATTCTCAGATATTTATTCCTCTTCTAGCCATACGCCTAACTTGTAGATACAAAGTGCTGGAGAATATGCATGGAATAGCTCATATCTTGAAGGTAAAATATAGCTTTTTTAAAAAGTGATATATTTTTGAAAATTTCACACTATCAGAAATTGTACCAGAGACTTTGCAGATGTTGTGGATAATTGGTAAGAAAACTGTTTCCTGTCCTCATATTGTGATGTTCTGAGTTAAAAAATCCTTTCTATGATTCAGCTGCATACAGATAGAGATTTCCATCTCTAGAAACACTCTTGCCTCTCCATATCTAAACATTGTAATAACCTCAAATAATTCAGTGTAAGTGGCTTTTTTTTTTTGTTCATGTGGCTCTTGGTTCCCTGTGTTACTGTAAGAACACAGGTGGCACAAACCCTGTGAAAATCATAGGCCAGAACCTGGCACTATGGTTTAATAGGTATCTAATCTTTAGTAGTATAATAGTTACAGACAAGTAGGAACTGAGTAACAGGTGAGTAAGCCAATGAATTTATAGCTGTTTCACAGATTCTCAAAGGGTAATGATTTGTCAACCTTTCTGTCTTTTGCTTGAAATACCACAATAATTTGTTAGCAACGAGTATAGTCGGGAGAGTAGTTTTAAAGGAAATATTACTGTAGTTTGACTGTGTTATAGGTAGGAAACTAAGCTCTGCACTTGTGTGTACACTAAATTCAAATGCAATAAGCTAAAACCCAAAGCAGCTTAGTGGGTATTAGAGAATGACCTGAGGATGGGTTGCCAGTAAATTAAAGACAGCAATATATCCAGGTTGTGTAAAGCTTTGTCAAACTGTAGATTCTTTCAAGTCTTTTCTTCTAGCACAGAGGCAGAAAAGAAATGGTGAGAGATGCAATAACCCTATTATTTTTAAATGGCCACAATTTCAGTGCAGTCAGTATTGTATATGGTCTTGTTGAGTACTTTTGAGTAATTTTCTCAGATGAAGCTCTATTTTTTTATCACCACTCTTTAAATTCTGACTACATCTCTCACAACATTTATTTCACAGCTGAGGGAGTCTGTATGATTATATACTTTCATATTTCGAGAGCTATGAAATAATTGTCATGAATCTCTACCTTGACAGCCGAAGCCTGTCCTGATGCAGAAAGAAACTGTGATCTTTCCCAAAGCATCTTTTTCAAGCCATCTTCACTGAAGTCATGCGCAACATTAAGACATAGCAGAAAACAATATGCTCATAAAAGAAAACAATTGCATCTTCATGTTTTAAAGCAGCTTATAGACAATGACTATAACATTACAGTGCTGAAAGCGCTACTTATTGGTTTTTTACAGAAATAATGACAAAGGTTGACATATGTATTCTTCGACACAAATGTGATATACCAACAAAATATAAACAGATACAAGCAGAGATAATTTATAACAAATGTTAACCCATGTGTCGATGAAGAATTATCTTGAATACCAATCCACTTGCCTAGCATGTACATATCTATGTTGATTCACACTCAAAGCATGTAGATTTCTTAAGTCATCATATGATTACATTACTCATTATTAGGTAGTGATTGCACTACCCCATTTATTAGTCTCATACACTGTGTTCAGTGCTGTCAGTTCTATTTGGATCTTAACTACATTAGAGAACCATAGCAATGTTTTCTGAATGGACTTGGAGGGAAAAAGGTCAGATTTCCTCAGACTGTCAGAATGTTTTCCTTTACACTGATGACTATCTGCAATGACATCTAAATGTGACATCTTTTTGCATCACAAAGTCAAACAATCAATAAACGGAAAAACCATGTAGAGTATTACTGAGATGACAAGCTACATGAACACTTTAGATAATTAAGATTGCTTTTTATAATTTTAGACTTACATATAGATATATACTTAGATAGATCTGACATTACAAAACATATTCTGAGTTGAGCAAAGCTGCAGCCATACCATCCTGCTGTTTCCTACCCAGCAGTGAAGCCAGTGCACAGTAAGTCTGTTTGTGCCCTCCAGTACCATGTAGTCATATCTGAACTAGCCTTAGAGTAGTTGCTTGGGTGCAAGGAACAGTCTAGTCATGGCAATGTGAAGCTCGGGACAGCTGTGATGGCAGTGTAGTCAAGGGAGGTAAATTATTCATGCAGAGGTGTTATAATGCAGTGAGATCTGTTTCTCACATCCTTAGAATGCATTCTCTAATCTCCCTACCATGATTTACATTTTCTGATATAACTAAGTGGTAAACAGTGAAAGCATAGGGACAAGGAGTTTCTGTGAAAGAAAAAAGAATCAATGAACAGCATCCTCTGAAAAGTAACTTGGTAATTGAAGTAACTGAAGTAACTGAGAGATCTGTGAGACAGCTTTTCCTTTGCCCTTCACAATCCCTGATAATGCTTACATGGGCCAATTTGCAGAAAAGGCACACTACAAAGCTGTTTGGTCCTTCCTTAGTTATTTGAGTCTTTAAATAACAGGTAATGGCAGTGCCCATTCACCATTGTAGCTTTTCACTCTTTTTTTATAGATTGGTTTTAAGGGAAAACACTCATCATCTATTCCAAACCAGTTCTGGAATACATCCTTGAATTTCCAAACACTCAGAATAAACAAAAAAACTGACTTCTATCAGCAGCTGCCTCTTGTTTCACCTCAAAGTAACAAGCAATCCAGAGGGTGAAGAAAAGGCCAAAATCTATTTTTCTCAATATAGAACTCCCATTTCTAACAGTAGAAAAGAAAAAGTTAATGAAATGCCATCTTGTTATATATGCTGTCTGCTACTGATATCTTTGTAAAATGCCCCTAAATCTGTCTATAGTGCATTCTGCCATCAGCCACAAGTATATGTCCTGTGAGCCATTGAAGTCATTTAGGAAACACCCTGAATCACAAGTTTACAGCACACATAGAACATAGCTATCAGATTGTAAAGGAAAAAAAAATTGAAACTGTTCTGAATCTTTACCATCAAGAAGTCAGTTAACTCTGTTTTATGGGAGGAAATAGGAACTTTCTCAATATTCCTCTTACCCAGAGTCTCACATACCTGTGATACATTGGGTGGCATTCCTGCTGTGAAACTCCCTCAGACAACCTATATTGCAGCAGTAAATTCTAGATCTAGTCCACAACGTTGGAAAACATTCACGAACAGATGGTTGCATTCAATAAAACATCAAAGTACCATCGTAAATAATTCTGTTGAATTTTTTTGCCAGTCATTTTGCAGTGCCACATTAAACATTTCCAGACACAGCTGAAAGTGAAAGGGATAGAAACATTTGGCAGTGAACACAGTGCCATAGGGCTGTTTTGACTGGTAAGGTTGAGACCAGAAATAGAAATGAGTATCTGAGTGGCACTTCATGGGATGGTTTCTGACTTGTAAAGACCAGAGAGGTCTGGGCAGTTGGAGGTCATCTGTTCTTTCCCTGCCTCTTCCACACTGCAAAGAATTTTGGTGTCTCACTCTTGCCTGCTCTGATGACTTCTGTCTTTGTCTCTGAGTTTGGGGAAGAGAGACTTTAGGTGACATTTACTCACCTTGCTTGAGTGTCCCCTTATTTTTGAGCAAGCACGTTCTAATAGCATACCCTCAGGCAGTAGCAGAGTAAAGCTTTCTCCAAAATCAGTCAAATTCTTGCAGGTCCAAGCCAAGTATTACTGAAGTGGAGAGTGATTGTGGAATTAGATGGCTTTGCCCATAAGTCACAGGCTTCATATACAAAAAATAGAACAGATATCAGTATTTTGTGAATATATTCTATTTTAGGACAAGGACAGCAATTAGAACAAAATTACCTAGCCAGACAGGCAAGCAATTCACTGGCTTCAGTGATTTGCTACTAAAGTCATGAAGTAATTGATTGCATTAAGCCTCAGAGAAATTCTGAAGAGAAAAAAAAGTAAAACCTGTGCCTGGTTTTGTAGTATCCTGCTACTGAAAGAAAAGGATAGTTCCTTTTTACCTCTGAAAGTCCACTCTAGGAAGGATCACAGTTTTCAAATAATTCTGTGAATTAAAGATTAGTATGTATCTCTACAAGAGAATATTTCTTACTCTTTATATTGTTATAATGAGCACAGTACTGCATGGATTAAACATGCAAGCAATCTACCACTTGTAGGACTTCAAGCATAAAACACAAATCAGCAAATGCAAAACACAGTATCACTCCCTTGGAATTTTCTGAAGAAGATTTGAAATGTAAAACAACTTCCCATTAATATACAAGTCGAAGTCCCTCTCTCCTTTGTCTCATGGCACTGAAAAAAAAGTAGTCAGTTGCCAACAGCTACAGCTACAGCAGCATTCACAGCTCTATCAGATGTAGTATCCATGACTGACATTTTTTTCACTGTCATCTCCAAAAAATGCAATTCAGCTGCAGCCAGGCCTATGCAGTCCCATTTCCGCCTGAGCTGGTTCCCAGCAGTTCCTGCACTGGATGTGGACTCTCATTATATAACAGACTCAAGCAAGGGTGAAACAACTGCTTTTTACAGAACAGGCCATGTGTGAGTCAACATGAAAGGCAAACCTAGCTCAAAAGCAGAGACAAGGTGTGTCACTCTGCTACACAGCAGGGGATTCCCTAAAGCTCCATACACTGAGTGGCCTGGAAGCTGTAGCTCCACAGTAATGTGGTTTGCCTGCTTTCCCTCTCAACAGAACTACAATGGGCTAAAGATACAGAACTGTGATAAGAAATGAGTAGGCAAATGAAAGACAAGCATAAAAAAATGCAAAAAGTTCTTTAAGCATTCTGGCTGGATATCTCCGGGGAAAAAAAACAAAACAAAACAAAACAAAATAAACCCCCCAAAAAAACCAAAATGACAGAACCAGGTATAAACAAGACTTTTTTTCTTCTTTAGTCATGACACATTTTAATGAGGTTTGAAATGAGCATAGGAAGACAGAGCAAGATAACAAGGTTATCTCCAACTATGAATCTTCACACTATTTATGATGCTAAATTTGCAGTCTATGCTGCTCACTTACATTTCCACAAAGTAGCATAATAAAAGAACAACTAGATGGTGGCAATTTTTCCTCTAAACCAGCCTTTCTGAAAAAATATATACAGTCCTCTGGGTTCTGATATTCTTTTTACCTCTGCAGAATAATGTCCCTTTTGTATTTTATCCCTTCTTTGTTCAAAGATAAAGAGAATGTATGTACATCCAGACTCCTACTCCCCTAAGTGATATGACTCATTCACACAAGCATCTGTACCCCTTAAGAGACTGTCAGTGCTTTTTCCTCTTAACTCATTAATTTTACTTTTCTGTTATACTGAAGAACTGCTAATAAGGTAACTTTTCTCAATTGATATTCCATCTCCTCTATGTCCCTGCAGGCACCTCTTCCTCTTCAGGACTTAAAGTACGATGCGTTGAACTCTCCCCACAGTTGGCATGATGGAGGCATATATCTTCTAACAGTCACTCCATCTTCTTGAAATATTATCTGTTTTGCAGACTGCAAATTGGGACTAATGGCAGGCATCAGTGTCTGCAACAGTAAGAAGTTTTAAATACTCGCTACTATCATCCAACTTACACCTGCTGCTGCTGTAGTATAGCTATAAACTGGCTAACTACTTTCTAAGGGAATTTTTCCTTAAAGCTCTCAGCTCTAGTTACTTCATAAAATCATTTGACTTTTAAATAACTCTCCTCTGTGTTCCTGAGTTAATCTTAGGAGCAGCCTTTAAGCCATGGAAAACTAGAAAAATTTATTTTGCCAATTTCGTGATAGCATTAATATGTTAAAATAAAACCCAAAAAACCATGAAGACATAAAAAGGAGAGCTTCTTTTCAAGACACTTTCTTTCTCTGCTACTGTCACAAAGTCATTAACAATTAAGTTTTCTGGCCTTTTAATGTGAGGTTGAATACATTAACAGCAGAAGAGGGTTAAGTCCATCTTGTTTGAAAAAAGCTGGTATATTGACTGAGTTTACACTGGTATGAATTGTTATCCCTAAATCTTTTCTATGTTTATTAAAAATTTCAGCTTTTTTACAGGTGAGGAACAAGATAACTAACACAAATATTAGTTGATTTAACAATAAATGGAGCTTGCAATCAGTGACACACATACTTCAGAAGTTCCCTTGGCCGTTTCAGAGGAGGTGTAACGGTAGATAATATTATATTCCTCAAAACATGACACAAGTAATTGTAAGATTAATTGGAAACTTGAGTTCTCTAATCTCTGCTGAATGGAAAACATCCCATTTGCCTCACTAGTCTTTGATCAGTATGTCTGTGTTTGCAGAGACTCATAGGACAATGTAAAAGCAAGTAAAAGTTCCTATTTTAAGGAGTCTCTTTAGTATTTCTGACACTTGTGAAACAAAGGGAGTACTAAATATTGATAATCATGTCATTTTAAAGAGAAATAGGTAGGGTTTTTTATGTATTACTCACCTCAATTAATCAGGAGAGTAGCGCAGTGTGTAGTGATTCTTTTCTATTGAAAGTCATTTAAAGGTTTAACAACTAAAGGTTCAGAAACTACACATATAATAGCACAAATCATCTTAGCACAACTTTAAAATACTCCCTTCTTTGAAATCACAGTTTTCATTAAAAAATAAGGCTATAAGCTACTTACTGAATATTATGGGTATGAAAAAAAATGTAAACTGTGCTGATGGGATGTGTCTGTTTAATGAAAACTAGGTGAATATAGACTAATAGTTACTGCCTGTGTCGTTGTGGCACAATCCTGGTGAAGGATAAGCAGGGTAAGTGTCAGTAGTAGTTGAGACATGTTAGTGCAGACATGCTACATCCCATGTTAGAGCCCTATTCTTTTAGGGGCTCTAAAACATCAGTGGTAGTATCTCTCTCATGAAGGCTTTCCAGACCGCCAGCTGAGAAAAGAGGGATGTATTACTATATTTTTGGGAAAAAGAAGCATTTGAAGATGAAGGCTAAAATTCATTATTGGCCTCAGATCATATTTGCGATGAGGAAAGAATCCGGCAGAGATCCTTCCCCTATAGCAGTGCTGGTTCCCAACTGTAAGTGCTAGGGTCAGGAGAGGTCAAGTTCATTACCATCCATTGATGTGGCTCTTTTTCTTTTGGGTTCTCAGCAGGGGAAACTCATCCCACTCTTGCTGAGCCTAGATCTGGCTGATTTGGGCTGGGCAAGATCTCTGTCAGCTCCTCTGGTATTTGGGGAGGTTGAGAAAACATAAACAGATTGAAGAGACAGACAAGTCAGATATCAAAATATTACCTTACACAGACTCCCAAATCTTCGTTCGCGAAGCCTAGCCATGAATGATGACCTTACACAGACTACTGGTTGATGTAAAAGATACATTATTGGGCTTTTCATTGAGGAATTCCCAGGAAATTATTAAACACTAGCTTTTTATTTCCACTTCTAACTTGCACAAAGATATGCATCTTTTCTATATGTAGTACTTATGCTCTATACCACAGACCCGGGAATCTTAAAAAAATCACCATCACGTAGCTCACAAGAAAGAGAAGGTAATCTGACTTGACAGACACACAACGTATTGAATCTTCAATTTTGTAAATGTAGACCAAAAATTATATCAGCCCAGGTATGCTGGAGCCACTAATGAAAACTGAAGTTACAGCCAATTATCCCTTTTTTCTATCAGGAAGAATGACCAGTTTGGAACAAAAGCACGGGAGAGAAAAGAAAATGGAAAGAGAGAGTGAGTGTGCGTGTGTGTGTGTGTGTGTGTGTGTGTAAGAGTCTCCCAAACTCTCAAACTCTCTAGTGCCTTTACAGAGCATTACAGCTATCAGCAATTTACCCTCAGAAAAGGAGCTGTCAAGTAAATGCCTTCCTATTCACATCACGTGGTACGTAAAGATCCTGAGCTGATCCATACCTCATGACTGAGGTATTGCAGGTCTCTTCCCTGCAATCAGTGTCCATTAAAAACTGATTTTGTACTAGTGACAATCTGATGGTAGTAAAATAAAATCTCCTAGACCCCCTGGTAATGAAAAATTATCTACATGGAAGGAAGAAAGAGTACAAAAAGGATTTCAGACTCCCTTAAAATTGTAACAACTTTTTTTCTCCAGTAAGTCAGTAGTCATTCTTTTTATTTTTGCTTTCATTAAGCATACTTCAAAGCATTTTGACACGCTCTATCACAGTGGACCAGACTAGTTACTTCTGAATAAGTTAAAATGTCTTGTCACTGGAGTGTGGAATAGAAGACAGTCAAAATGAAATCAGGTTGAACTGTCATTCACCTTATTGAATCAAGTGCTAACAGAATACTGACAGAGTAAAATATCCTCTTCTATAACCTCTGACCTTTTTAGATTTTCATTTTGGGAAAGAGAACTGGAAAGATCCATATCTTCTGGGTAGCAAATATTCAGAGACATAGATGCTATTATGTGATGGTATCTGTACAGAAATATAAGAGATATTCTCTTGCTTGCTTTGGCCAGGACACAGCTGTTAAGACTTATGTTGTTCCATTGCCCTTGGTCTAGTGAAGATGTAGTACAAGCCTGGCTAGTAAAAGTTAGAGTCAGATAGTTCTTCCCTAATGTAGCTGTTTCTTAATAATTTTGCTGCATCAACCTATGAACAAAACATCTGTCAGTTTCTTACAATTATCACTTTCCTTACATTTGTAACTCTGCTCTAGTTTTCTATTTCCATGTTTTAAACTTTTATTCTGAGGTCCATTTAAACATGGAACAGTTAACTGAATTTACATAATCCCATCTTATCACATTTAAATTTCAAATTAATGATAATTACTGAGTAAAAGAGGTAGACTTTCTCCTCCTAAAAAATTAAAGAACCATGATTCCCTAAAAGCATCATGAACTTCAAAAGGAGAAAAAAAACAATAATAATTAAAAAATCCCATCTCCTTCTACTCCTTGTCTCAAGTATTTTAATGATGAAAGTACAGTTTCCCTCCAACTTAGAGCATCAGTGCTGGAGGAGTTGGAAATAATATCCTGCTTTCAGTTACCAGAGACTTGTTCTCAGATTTGGTTCATTTGATATCATTATAAATTGAAAATGTGGAAGCAAGTTGCTTGCAATCTGCCGAGAAACAAAACAGGGGCAAATTTTTAAGAACATAAAAGGCTTTTCACCTTATGTGAAGATCAGGAAGGTGCCGTGTGCTCAGTGGCAGAGGTAGGGGAGGCAGAAATCACATTGTTCACCCATGGGCAGCACACCTGAGGATTACAAACATAAGACATGAGCTGAGAGTTAAAAGGATGTTTGAATTTCAGCAAGTACTCTAGCTCAGGAGGTTAAACAGTGGATAGTGGAAAGTACAATTGATTTGTTTTTCAGGAAATAGCCAGTCTGATTCAAGGGATGAAGCCACCAGCAGCCAGTGCAGGAATTCATGCAGGAATTCAGGAAGATGCTGAGAATCTGTAAAACAAAGACATTTTAGCAATTGTGGGGAAATTTCTCCTGAGCTAAAATAGCCTTATGAATTTATTTCAGAAAAAAAAAAAGTTGCTGAGAGATACCCTGAATGAGATTTTAAATTTACTGAACAAAGGCACCCAGAGGCACCTATCTGGCAACATCTGGTTTAGTTCTGAAGGAAGGGAAGGCCATGCAGTGAGATGGGTATGCTATTTCGCTTTGCGCTAAATGCAACTGACCTTAGGCAGGGTGGATTGTGATTCAGAATAAGAGCCCTCAGTTTTAGAAGGATTCTGACCACTGCAGAAATCATTTAAATTCATACTCTTGCTGTCTTCACAAATTTGATGCCTTTGAAGCTTGAAAAATCTTGCTCCTTGTAGGTTAAAAATACAGGTGACAAACAGAAATCTCATGGAACTGGTATGGTCCATAGAGTAAATAAACTTCAACAAGGAAAAAGAAGTATCCAACTGGTATAAAAACCATGAACCAACATGATTAAACAGTAAAAACTGAGGAAACAAAGTACCTTTGACAAGTTCCATAATTCCATGCACCATGTCACCTTTCATTTCATTTAATGAATAACATGTAAACACAAAAATATCTTTTATGTCATTGGTGCAAGTCACTGTTATACTGCTTATATATAATTTTCTCTAGAAGACAGGAAATGTTAGCTCATTATCTCAAAAGTTATTCCACATTAAATCCCATAATACATAACTCCAAATTTGATGCCTGTATTACTTTAAAGAGTCTTTTGTACGTTCCTCACTGAGGCAAAACGCGTACATTTATCACTTTAAAACAAATGTCTTTGAGGTATATATCACTATAATTAGATAAATATATAAAATTTGAAATTTTGGAAGATGGCTGCCGATGTTGCAGCACTGCTTCTCAATTGCAGTGCCGGCACAGCATGGACTGCAGCCTGATCAAAATGCACTACACAAAGCAACCATTTCTTTTCAGATGTTTAGAAGCCAGGTTCTTTTTTAAACTTCTCTTCCTTTCTGAACCATCATCAGTTCACTGCCTTGTTTCTAAATAAGCACCCACCAGCTTATACATTCAGATACACAGTCGCAGATGGTTCAGAGACCAATCTGTAATTTACCATAAGAAAGCTGAGCTGATTTAATAATGACCACTACAAAATATAAGTACAACCCACACTGAGTGGATTAAGGAATGGCCAACTGACAGCCCTCAAAAGCATCTGTCAGTGAGGAAACAGTCACAGAACAAGGATTTTTTTCTTATACCTATATGTAGGCTTTTCAATGCATCTCTTAGAAAAAAAAATCACTCCTGGTATTATTTGGGAATATTTCAAAGCTGAAACCTGCGCCTAAAGAAGGTCTAAGGGGGTAGAACTGAAACGTTAAACCTAAATTATGATACAAAACCCTAATCTTACTAGGCTTAAAGAAAATCTCACCCTGGAGCTTTCCAAGTGGCATTTTAACTTCAAAGTTTCCAAGATTCAAAAAATCTACCCTTTTCCAAAATGGTTCCTTTCTAACTGCTCTGATATCTACTTTTTACTTCAGACTACTCAAGTTCTAGAAGTCAGCACAGTTAAGACACACAGAGCAACTACAAAAGGACACTCACAAAATGTAGTTACTGCTACCCATTTATGCAAAACTGATTAAAAATTGTTTAATGCTATATGCCAGAGTTGCTCAACACCATATGTAAAGAAAAATTTGAACTTTTAATGATTTGGTATAATAAATACCTGAGAGATTTGTCTAAGTCTATCTCAATGATTACTTGCAGCGTGACTTGTTTAGAGGTTTTCTTTAAGTAAGGTGACATTTTAGCATTACATGCTGGGTTTTATTTTTGATAGCTGTGCAGTTCTGTGATTTCTTATCCTATTTGTGGTTTTGGTTTTTTTTTTTTACTTCCAAAAGTATCTCATACGTACACTGGTAAAAGGTTGCAAAGTAATACTACCTAATTCCATGGTAGCAAAGCCTCAGATACATCTAATTTGTTTTCAGAGAAAATTTGCTTTACTCTTCTCCTCCATAAAGGACAAATGGTATCACATGCAAACTAATTCTGGGCACATTTTGCTGTTTATTATACTCCTGACCTTCAGAAATGGATGTTTGGTTTCATATAATTACTACATAAGGTTTTCTTTTTTTCCTATGATTATACTGAAGTTTTATTTGAAGTATCTGAATGTAAGCCATTGACAGAACACATTCTCTGTAATGATATATTCTTTTTCAATAAGCCTATATCTATATCTTCCCATTTTTTATTTTTGTGTCTGGTATCTCCCTTAAATAAGGAAAGGTTAACCAGTTATTGATATGTCTTTGCATCTTTCATATGAAAAAAACAGATATATAATATATAATTTTTATTTAAAACTGTTCTTCATCAAGGATGCAATAGAGATGTTAAAAGTTTGATTTACTGCTTATCATTAACCTAAGGATCATAGGTACTTGTGATTTTCCTCAGAAATTCTGAAACTGCAGTTAATAAGTATTTTAAGTTCAATTTTTTCATGATTAATAAAATTAAACAAAACTACCCCAAATCAGGATTAGAAGCAGAAATTAAGGCAGTGTTATTACTTATGTCAGGGAGAAAATAAACCCCAAATATATAGTGAAGAGGTCAGAGATAAGAAATCATACAATCGTAGAAATGTCAGGGTTGGAAGGGACCTTAAAGATAATCTAGTTCCAATACCCCTGCCATTTGCAGGAAAGCAATTGTCTAGATCAGGTTGCTCAAGGCCCTATCCAACCTGGCCTTGAACACTTCCAGGGACTGGGTGTCCACAGCTTCTAGATTGTCTGTCTTCCCTTGTCAACCGTTGACTTTGTTCCATCACAGAAGGTCACTAGATTTCTCAGACACAATTTGCCATTAGTAAAGCTGTGCTGGCTGCCTCAGATCATCTCCTTGTCTTTTATGTGCCTTAGCACATAAAAGATCCTCTTCTAGGAGGATCTGCTTTTCCCAGGCACAGAGGCAAAGTTCACTGATGTTCCTTTCTTCCCTTTTTAAAAATGGGAGTGATGTTACCCTGTAGAGCATAATGTTTATTAAGCATTTTACAAATGCTTCCCTTATAGCTGTTCTGTTCCATCAAGGACTATATATATCCTACCAAAAGTGTTGCATATGCTTTATATTGCATATATGTTAAATTTTTGCTGAATGGGTTAATGATTGCAATGTCTGTCTTCAGATTCTATATAACTATAAAACAAAAATAATAGAGCAAAAGTTTATAACAAAGGTAAGATAGAAATAATTTGTAATTCACTGTGTTAAAAGCAGCACAGACAGCAATACTGAGAGCAAGTTCTTACAGGATCTTGCAAATAGGTCACAGTTTGATACAACTAAAGTAATCTCTGTTCTGTGCCTGAGGCTGAACTCTGACTGATGGTTTAGTGTCTTATTCAAACTTGATGCCTACTACTTGGGAACTAGAAGCCTGAGATGGGACCAGAGCTGAAAGACTTTTGGTGTGTTCCACTAGTTTCTTCAGAATTCAGTGAAGAAATCTATTTTCTGACCAGATTTCTTCTAATTTGAAATGGCAATGTTTTTCCTTTATTGCCAGAAATAACATTGATTAGTTTCAAAAGTTTTGACAGATGCTTTTCAAGATTTCTTAACCTGTAGTAAATTGAAAAGGAGACAAGGGGAGTAATCAAAATATGTGCTTATTTTGCACCTGGTTCAATATGTGACGAGAGGATTTCATAGTTCCCCTACACTTAAGAGCAGTCAGTGCTTAGTTTTGGTGGCTGATTTATGCAAAAGAACTCTGCAACATGTGATGTTGCCATTCTTGCTGGCAAAGGGTAGAAAGCAGTCTAATCCTGTAAATCGCATTTGTCATTTATAGTGGTAGGATTATTCTGACCATACGTCAGACTTGAAATTGTTGTCCAAATCCTAGTTCTCTTTTGGCCCTATTTTGGGGAACAGGATGCCTCTAGCCATTAGCAACCGTGAGCTACAGATGACTCTATGGTTATTTCTAACTCACAAATGTTTCAGTGATGCATTTGGATACATGGTATCTCAGCTACTATAACAGACAAGCAAAGGACAGAGATGAGAGGCTCTCAGCTTCAGAGCAGGGAGTCCAAAGCTCTGAAATACTGTCTGCAATGCTATCAATATTAAAGCCTGCATTTTAATCACTTAAGCAGTGAATATGGCTCTCCAAGCTCTGCTTCAGGGAAGTACAGCCAAGTCCCAGTCTAGGAATGGTGCACATTTGTCAGACTCAAATATTTCCGCCAAGCATTTTTTTGTTTTGTTTTGTTCACAACAGCACCTAAGAAAAAGGGGTTGGGGTTCAGTTCACAGAGGATGATAAATAAACACAGATGATGATGTGAGCAGTGTCAAAACTCCAGTTACAATGAAGACTTACTCAGCACATTACTAGTGAAAAAAACCCCAGTATTTACTTCAGGGTGAATTGAGCTGTTCTCCTGACCATCTTGCCTAGATCTCCATCTCTTACCAAGGGAGTGTAGACACTTGGAGGCAGATAGCTAAGCTCAGATGTTTCAATCCTTCCCCTCCCAGTTTTCCCCATGAAACAGAGAGGAAACAGCTATAAAGAAGTGTCCATGGCACAAAACTACTGCAAGCCAGTCTGATGTCTCTGAGACAAGCTGCTCTCAACAGCAATAAAACTGCAATCCTCATCACTGCTCAGTCAGCAGGCCTCGTCCATAGCCCTAACCTTGGAGGGACTGACTCTGAGGAAGCAGTTTATTTT